ATATATATATATATATATATATATATATATATATATAAATAAAATGAATAATATGAAATAGAGGAAGTAATTAATTTGAATATAGTTTTGGATCTTGAAGATGAGTAATTAAAATTAAGGATAAAATGGTAAAAGAATTATTATCTTTTTTTTCTTAACAAAATCTAAAATATAAAAATAAAAATATATTCTTAATTAATAGAAAAGTAAAAGTAAATAAAAAGGATCTATTATTATACTAAAAATACATGTTCAATAAAAGACAACAAAAGCAATTAGAGAAAAGATTTAAAATTTTAAATTTAAACTGATGTTTAGATATTCAATTTCTTTAAAAGAAAAAATAACATATCTAGAAATCATAAAAATATACATAAATCACTAATTCTTTAAGTTTAATTTTTTTGAAAAAATTAAATTTTAAATTATAATTCGGATATGTAATAATAATAATATGTGTGTATGTGTTTTATATATTTTGTTTTATAAAAATGAAGAGAGAGAGTATATTTTAATTAATCTGATATGGACTTATAAACATGGATAATTGTAACAGATATTAGAAATGAAGTTCCATATAGATGAAGACAAAAATAAAATATATATAATTTGTATTAGGTAATTGTTTTTTATACACATAATAACACTTATAGCGGGATACTTATAAAGTCTTAATTAAGTTAATACACAAATAATTACATATCTTAATCCAGATAATTTTAGCAGAATATTAAATTAATGTACTAATTCCAATAGGTAAAGACAAAATCATGACGATATATTTTATCTAATCCGTATATATAAATAAATATTAGTGTAGAAATTGACTAAATATCAATCTAATTATCATATTATATGTATAAATTAAATTAAGAAGGACGTAATAAGCAGTATCCAACATCTAATAGGGCAAGAGAATCAAATTTATTAATTGTTTCCCTGGATTCATATTTGATTTGACATATTTATAAAAAAAATATTTTTTTTTTCATTTCAAATGAAGTGTTATTTTAATAAAATTTGTCTATTAATTGATAAATGTTATAATAATTTAATAAATATTTTTTAAAAATTGAAAACTACTACTCTATAGGATTATAGTTAGAAAAAAAGTTTTAATTTTTGTTTTGTTTTTTAGTTGACACTTATTGGCATTTTTATAGTTCAAAATGAATGAATATTTTTAAGTTTAGAATTGTATTGTTTATTTCTTTTGAAATTTGAAATTATTTTATTTTTAATGAGTTTTCAACTATTTTTAGATCACAAAATGATGGTCTCTACTTTTAAGAAAAGTCTAGAAAGTAATAAAAGAATAATATCAACAAATTATTTTTGAATATTATCTTTATAATCTATCAGATTAACGAAGATCAAATAATATAAAACAGAACTTTCAAATATATTTATATATAAAAAAAGATGATCCTAAATGTTTTATTAATCTAATAAGGTCAAATAACACCAATAAACATAACAAAAAATTGAATAAAAATTGTCTTAGAAAGAGTTAAATGGAGCATCTACAAGTATTATTTGTAAAGTATGGCATGATAATGCTAAAGAAGAAACTAAAACAATGACTAATTAACCACCATTACATAATTAAGAGCATACGTGATCAATCTAACACAATTTGTTGGGTAAACCTTAGCTATCTAATTCTTGATTAACTAAAACTTAATCAAACATATATAGATGTAATCTTACTTAAATTTTCATACTAAGAAACTAAACTAAAATGATAATAAGCCACCCACAATTAATTGATAGTACTCAAATTGTGCTATAATAATAGTATATTTAGTGTATCTCCGAAATGAAGTTTGGAGAGGATAGTGAGTACATATAGTTTGTTTTTATTTTGTGAAGAAAAAGAAGCTATTTTTATAAGACCTTTTCCTCAAATACAATATATCAAAATTGAATATGAAAAATAATAAAATTGTAAAGCAAGTTATATTGATAATAATAATAATATAGACGAGAACAATACTAATATCAACTAAGTAATTAAATAGTTGAGGCAACGAAAACAATTGGAAGGGTTAAAATGGAAGAATAGATAATAAGAGAGTTAACAATAATACTGAAGAAAGAATAGACTAAATAATACTTAATTATCTACTAACATATTACTTCCTCCGTTTTAAAAAGGATGACCTAGTTTGATTTGAAACGGAGTTTAAGAAAAGAAAGAAAACTTTTTAATCTTGTGGTTCTAAATTAAAGTTATATCAAATATATTAAAATATCCTTTAATCTTGTGCTCTTGAACATGTCACGTGAAAAGTTAAAGTGAAACGGTTACCAAAAAAGAAAAGGAACCATCTTTTTAGAAACAAACAAAAAGAAAATAGGGTGAAACGAAGGGAGTATATTCTAATTCTCGACCTCCAATTTTATTTTATTTTATCCAGGATTGTGTGAATCATTTTAATCTCGTCTTCCTTTATCTTATTCACCACATAAACAGATGTTATTGATCCTTAATTTGTTCCTAATCCTATCTTCTAATCCCTAGGCTATACATATTTATTTCAACATACTATTTTTGCTATTTTCATTTGTTGGACGTCCAAGTTCTTGACCAATCAACATGATTCCACTATGTATCCTTCTTTTAATAGTTTTTTTATTGTCTATCTCTAATTTTAAGAAAAATTCAAAAAGAAACAAAATATTCATCTAAAAAATGTTTTTATTAACTTTTTATAAGAGATTTGTCATATCTTAAAAATTCATTTGTTTTCAACCAAGTATATTGCTAATTTTTATTTTTCAATTATACTAAAAATATTGTTTTTTTAAAAAATTAATATATAATTTAGAGAAACATTATGGGGTAAAAGATAGGGATAAGTCATAGCATGAAATATCGTTTATATAACTTATTTTTCTTAATTTCACGATAATTAATATTATTTTTAGTTTTTAGAAACATAAGAAAATGTCTTACAATTTTTTTATTAACTATAAAATTTATAAATATTTTTTTGCCATGAGTTATACAGAGTAGTCAAATTTAAAAGATTCGCAAAATATCATTTTCTCTGTGTGTCACTTGATCTTAAGCATACTCCAAAATCCAAATTACAATATGCTAAATAAATGTTTCAACCTGAATTATTTATCAATTTATAAGTATTGATGATAATAATTATTTTATAGGTGAAGTAAGTAATGACGTCTGAATTAATCATGTAAAGATTATAATATAATGTATAATTTATTTCCTTGGATGTTTTGCATTTGTTATATTAGAAATTAATATAGCTTTTTATAATTTTTAAGACAAAATATTTGCTTACAAATATACTTTTTGAAATTTTGCGACAAATATATTTCAATGAGAAATTTTATTAATTAATTTCTGTATTAGTTAATTACTTATTTTTATTCGGCATTAGTTTTTGATGTGGAATATATATATAATGATAATTAAATACGGGTAATGCTAAATGACCAAAAAATTTGGTCAAAATTTTTAAAAAGCCTATAATGTCCTTTTTATTTTAAAATAAATTAATTTTTTTCTTTTTTAATTAAAAAATGTTACAACTAAAACGCTAAAAATATTTTTAAAAGTAAAATAATATAATGTGAAATATTTTATTTTATGGCCAAAAGAATTTTTCCATTAAATATTGTATTTTGGTGTGCTAAATTTTAAGAGAGCAAAAGAGTTTGACATTAATTTTCTCTAGAATTAATGAAAATGTTCCCTTATATGAAAGGAAAGTGTATATATGGCTAGTTAACGGCATTTAATTAATAATAATAGCTTAATTATTTTTAAATATTCATATTTAGTGGTAATTAATATTTTTGATATATGTTCCTAAAAATTTTTAGCGACTCTAAATCTAATGATATATCACTAATATTGATAAACACTTTAGCACACTCTTTATTTTAATGTGTCTATTTCATCACTAAAAATCATTTTTATTGTATCGATTATTAACGT